AACGAGCTCACTGTTAAAACCCTCCATCCGTTGGTGCATGGCCTCCATGCCATCATGCAATGTCAGCACTTCAACCTCCAAGGCCTCATTCTTTTAGGTGATCACATCCATGCCTTGTTGAGAGCAGCTTACAGCTCACCTTGGATCTCCTCCCCCATGGAGTCTAGCGATGCAATGTGAGTCTCCACTTCCTTAAGCTTCTCGCTCATGTCGCCCATGGTCACCTCCACCTTGGCCAGCCTACCGTCCATGGTAGACCAGAAATCTCTTAAACTAGCTTTCCTGCCTCTTCCACGCCTTTGTTCCTGGGCCTCTGGTTGTTGGTTTGCAACATCGCTTTAGGATGCCATCTCCTCAATCACGATCTAACCTACACAACACAAACACGCAAAATCGAACCCGCTCTGATACCAATTATCATGGGCTCTGACCTTAGACTCAGAATCCGTGTGACCTTAAGCTTGGAATCTCCTCCTTTATGCCTAAGTCAGCCTAAAACACAAGCATGTGGGCACTATAACAATGGGAAGGGCTGATTATGCAAGTTAAAGAGAAACAGGATAACAAGGCAGAATGATGGAATATGCTGTGTATTCACTGAAACAGAAGTGTTTGATGGTGTACAAATGACGGTAGAGTAGCCCTCTATTTATAGTTGAGGCTCCAGCTACACTTAATGGCAATATCCCTAGAATAAAGGCTAAAATCAAGGGATTACAAAGATTACAATCAATCAGGATTCTAACTCCTAATTTCTAGGGTCAACCAAATTTGCCTAGAGGTTCCTGCTCATCCTACGAGCTTTCAGAAGCTTCACTTGGGTGTCTAGCACCTTGGGCCCCTCTGGATGTGGTGCAGACAGCCTGCATGCTAGGCTTTGGCCTCACAGGTTGGCCTGTAAGCTGGGCCAGTGTTCTGGCCTCTTCTTCTAAGCCTTGCATGCAGATACCCACCAGCACACTTGGTGTGCGAGCCTCAACCTCTGGCTCACGTGTTGGTGCTCTTGATGTGCCTGACGTGCCTACCCAGGGTGTGACACCTGTACCAAGGGCCGGCTTGTGCCGATGGTGCTCGAGGCAATCGTCCGGACCAAGGCCCAGCATATGCCGATGGTGTTCGAGGCAACCACATGCATCGGGGACCATCTTCTGCCAATGCTGATCAAGGTATGGTGCATGCTGATGGTGGTCCAAGCAAGTGACCGTATGAATGGCCAGCTTGTGATGATGGTGGCCAAGGCATGTGCCCACACCAAGGCGTAACACGTGTCGATGGTGCTCGAGGCAACCGCCCGCACCAAGGCCCATCTTCTGCCGATGCTTTTCGAGGCATGCATGTGTTGATGGTGGTCGAGGCAAGTGCCCATACCAAAGGGTAGCTTGTGCCGATGATGGTCGATGCATGTGCCATCACCATGCACCATCATGTGTCGTTGATGGTCGAGGCCTTGGTCAAAGTTTGATTTTGAGCCACGATGCACATGCTGGGCTCGGGCATGTGCTGGTGTTGCATTTTTGTTGCCCGGGGCAACATCACTGGAGAACCTGATCGACGACATTGGGGGCTCGACGATTGAGGGTCCGTGGGGTGTGCGCACATGATGTGCGATGGGTGCTTGTACTTGGCCCTTATATTGGCCCCCTATCCCTTAACAAACCTTGAAAACTCACACCCCCTTAAAGAGCATATGAGATTTTACAGATTTGCTGCTAATAACCATTCAAGTGTCTGAAATGGGGACACTTTTTTCAAATGGCCACAAAATCTTCTACACTTCGAGTTTTTAGTTGAATTTTTTTGTGCATGGCAAAAAAAAATACAAGGATCAGATCTACCAAATTTGGGGCCAAAACTCCTTTTAAAAAAATTTAAAAAAATCCCAAATCGTAAAAAATTTAAAAAATCATGAAAAATAGAAAACGAGTCATCTTGCCATGAAACTTCACATGAAGGCTTAGGGGACCATTGTATGAACAAGCCATAAAAATGGCATTGGCATGGCAGAAATATGAAGATGTGCCTAAACTCACCTACCACCTGATCATGGCACGCATGGTGCTCGACCCGGGCTCAGGACAGTCGCGCGTGGTGTGTGGGCGCTAGGAAGTGCTTATATGAATTCACAGGCCATAAAAATGGCATTGGCATGGTAGAAATATGAAGATGTGCCTGAACCCACCTACCACCCGTTCGTGGTGATCATTGGCGCTCGGCCCGAGCTCAGGACACCCACGTGTGGTGGGCGGGCATTGGGGAGTGCTCATATGAATTTATGGACCACAAAAATGGCTTTGGCACTGCAGAAACATGAAGATATCCTTGAACCCACCTACTCTCCAATCGTGGTGCGCAGGGTGCATGGCCCAAGCCCAGGTGCGACTGCTTGGTGCGTTACCCAGCACGGGTTGATGCTGTTCAAGGGATCTGCCCGCACGAAGGTCTAGTTGCATCGATGGCGGTCAAAGCATGTGCTGAGACCAAGGACCAATAAGTCTCGATGGTGGTCGAGGCATGTGAATGTGTCACAGTTAGCAAGCAAGCCGGGACTGGCCCCGAGGTTATAGTGGGATAGGGTCCGATAGCCCGGGGGACCAGGCCTTGAGGCCTACTCAAGGTACAGGTCATGGGGAACTGGATCGGGACAGTGGTGAGGGTAGTGATCAGGACTCCGGGGGCTCAGACATGGTGTTTGGTTCGACAGAATTGAGCCAGGCCCAGGTGCAGGTGTTGGTCAACGGTGCATGGCACGCAGTCAGACCGACGCACGGGCACTGATGATCGAGGTGTGGCCATGCAGTCAGACCAGGGGTGTCCGAGGTAGCAGCCTGCACCAAGTGCTAGTGTCGTACCTTGGGCATGTGCACCAAAAGTTGAGGCCTGTACCCCAGCAGCCAAGGCTCGAGCACCGTACGCAGAGGCGGGGGTTCTAGCAATAGTCATAGCTATTGCTGTCTAGACCGTCTGCCCAAAAGTTTGACCTATCCGTGACATTGAGACCAGGCCCACAACATGCCCGCACCGCATCCAGGTGGTCCCGAGGAGTGGGGCCAAACCATAACCATATAGAAAGCCTGTAAGATCTGTAGCACATAGAAGGGGACCCGATCGATCCTCAGCTTGTGTATTCTGCCTCTCTGGCCAGCTTAGTGCCTGCATGCTTGTTTCATAGGTTGACTTCAGCATACATAGTTCATTCCCAGCCACACGAAGTTCGTAGGTTGACTTAGGCAATCGAGCAGTGGGTGCATGCCTTACCTCTAGCTTGAATTATGATTTAGAGGCATTCAGTCATAATCCAACGCACGGTAGCTTCGCGCCACTGGCTTTTCAACCAAGCGTGATGACCAATTGTCCAAATCAACAGTTCCTCTCGTACTAGGTTGAATTACTATCGCGACACCGCCATCAGTAGGGTAAAACTAACTTGTCTCATGATGGTCTAAACCCAGCTCACGTTCCCTATTGGTGGGTGAACAATCCAACACTTGGTGAACAATCCCACGCATGCACCGCGAACGGGATGGTAACGGTGCACGCACTCTGTTTTCATTTTGATTCTTTAGCGCAATTCGCACCAGGGGTTCATTGTTCGATAGCTAGCGAGATGACGTCAATCGTTTCACCAGCCCAATAGGGGGCATGAAGCAATCGTCGTGCCCGCCTGTGGCCGAAAGGGGCTCGGGGCACGGGAGGACCCTCAACCCTTCGGTGTTTCATTAATGCGTCCGTGGGTCATCCGTCGAGTGGGGTTCCGACAATGATCCTTCCGCAGGTTCACCTACAAAAACCTTGTTACGACTTCTCCTTCCTTAAAATGACAAGGTTTAGTGGACTTCTCGCGATGTCACGGGTGATGAACTATCCATGTCACCGCGATCCGAACACTTCACCGGACCATTCAATCAGTAGAAGGGACGGGTGGTATGTACAAAGGGTAAGGACGTAGTCAACGTGAGCTGATAACTCACGCTTACTAGGAATTCCTCATTGAAGACCAATAATTGCAATGATCTATCCCCATCATGATGAAATTTCAAAGATTACCCAGGCCTGTCGGCCAAGGCTATAGACTCATTGAATACATCAGTGTAGCGCGCGTGTGGCCCAGAACATCTAAGGGCATCACAGATCTATTATTGCCTCAAACTTCCTTGGCCTAAGCGGCCATAGTCCCTCTAAGAAGCTAGCCACGAAGGATCACCTCCACATAGCTAGTTAGCAGGCTAAGGTCTCGTTCGTTAACAGAATTAACCAGACAAATTGCTCCACCAACTAAGAAAGGCCATGCACCACCACCCATAGAATCAAGAAAGAGCTATCAATCTGTCAATCCTTACTATGTCTGGACCTGGTAAGTTTCCCCATGGTGAGTCAAATTAAGCTGAAGGCTCCACTCCTGGTGGTGCCCTTCCATCAATTCCTTTAAGTTTTACCCTTACGACTATCTCCCCCCGAAACCCAAAGACTTTGATTTCTTATAAGGTGCCCACAGAGTCCAAAAAGTACCATCCGTGGATCCCTGGTCGGCATCGTTTATGGTTGAGACTAAGACGGTATCTGATCGTCTTTGAACCCTCAAGTTTCACTCCTGATTAATGAAAACATCCTTGGTAAATGCTTTCGTAGTTGTTCGTCTTTCATAAATCCAAGAATTTCACCTCTGGCTATGAAATACGAATGCCCTTGACTGTCCCTGTTAATCATTACTCCAATCCGAAGACCAATACAAGAGGATTGAAATCTTATAATGTTATCCTATACTATTATATACAAGTGTAGGCCTGCTTTGAGCACTTTAATTTCTTCAAAGTAATAGCGTCAGAGGAATGACCCAGGCAATTAAGTCCAGGAGCACATCACCGATAGTAGGGACAAGTAGATTGGTGCTCACCGTGAGGCAGATCGGACGACCAAACCCTAGTTCCAACTACGAGCTTTTTAACTGTAACAACTTAAATATATGCTATTGGAGCTGGAATTACTGCTGCTGCTGGCACCAGACTTGCCCTCTAATGGATCCTCGTTAAGGGATTTAGATTGTACTCATTCCAATTACCAGACTCATAGAGCTCGGTATTGTTATTTATTGTCACTACCTCTCCGTGTCAGGTTTGGGTAATTTGTGCGCCTACTGCCTTCCTTGGATGTGGTAGCCGTTTCTTAGGCTCCCTCTCCGGAATCGAACCCTAATTCTGCATCACCTGTCACCCGTCACCACCATAGTAGGCCACTATCCTACCATCAAAAGTTGATAGGGTAAAATTTTGAATGATGCGTCACCGGCACAAAGGTCGTGCGATCCATCGAGTTATCATGAATCATCAGAGCAACGGGCATAGCCCGCGTCGACCATTTATCTAATAAATGCATCCCTTCTAGAAGTCAGGGTTTGTTGCACGTATTAGCTCTAGAATTACTACGATTATCCGAGTAGTAGATACCATCAAACAAATTATAACTGATTTAATGAGCTATTCATAGTTTCACAGTCTGAATTAGTTCATACTTACACATGCATGGCTTAATCTTTGAGACAAGCATATGACTACTAGCAGGATCAACCAGGTAGCATTCTTTTGAGACATTGGCACCGCATGGGCCTCGACGTATTGATCGAATGGCAGAAAGAGCCCAACACAAAGTGCAAGCGTTATGCGTGTCAAGCATGTGAAATGCATAGCATCGGATGAACGGGGGTCGAGAGCCCACGCCCGCTAAATGTTTTGCATCCGAGAGCACGATCAACATCGGTGCACCAATGAGGCCACGAAGGATTAGGTGGCACGCTTAGGACACCGACCACGATTGACATTCGACCCATAGCCCCTCAGGACACGAGACGGATGAGGGATGGCGAGACATCCGATTTCCATCGATTCGGGTATGTAGCACAGGATCCCGATCACACCTTCGGGGTATGATGATCGTATGGGGGTAGATTGAAGAGGATGATGGGTCGATAGTTTGATGCATCGAGCACGGAGCCTACAACACGCACAACCATAGTACCACTCATATGCCCATTACGTACAAGTGGCATCATCTACAAGCGTCGATCCACAACCCACCCGATCAATTACTCGACGAGCAAATGGAAGAAATGACAAGCGACGCCACGTCACAGTCGCTTGGCATGAGAAAAACACAACCAAGGGCCATGAGTCTGCCCCTACCATCCGGTAGGCAATAACAGTGAGATACCACCAATGCTTGGCCTGGCTGAGACCGCACGTGACACCACCTTAGGGGGATGTTACCTGATTCAAGAACTTGTTCTTAGGGCCTTGGGTAGCATCGACTGCGTGCACGGCCTCATCAAGGCATTTTTGTGGTTGACGAGAAGGGACCGCGAGATCATCAAATACCAAAAGACTTGGCTGAGCCAAGCCTGTAATCACAGATTTTATTCACACCACCCCAGGGAGCCATTGCCCGATTCAAGGACTTGGTCTGGGGTCTAAGGGTAGAATCCACTGCATGCACAGGCTCGAGCTCGACTCTTTTTTTTCACATACATGCCAACCAGTCGAGGCCATGGGTGACTGTTGGTCACCGGAGTAACCAATCATCGAAATAAAATGGTCGGAAGGCATGTACCCCCTATATTTCACTCGAGGGACGTTGCCTTGGGTGTACGCAATGGGAGGCCCATCATGCACACCTACTCCCCCCGTGGGAGGAGAAGGGGTGCCGGACCATCACCCCCTAAAGAGCATTAGAGATTTTACAGATATGCTATCAGTAGACCTTAAAGTGTCTAAAACAGGGAAACTTTTTCTAAACAGGCATATCCCACACCAAGGATGAGCAAGTGCCGATGATGGTCAAGGAATGTGCCCACACCAAGGGCCAGCGCGTTTCGATGGTGTTTAATGCGACTGCCCACACCAAGGGCCATCTTTTGCCTATGCTAATCGAGGTAGGTGCCCTCATCGATTCCAGCTTGTGTACATGCTGATTGAGGCATGCATGCACCGATGGTGGTCAAGGCATTTGCCTGCACCAAGGCCTAGCATGTACCGATGGAGTTCGAGGCAATAGCCCACACCAGGGCCCATCCTCTATCGATGCTAATCGAGGCATGGCACGTGCTGACGAAGATCGAGGCAAGTGCCCACACCAAGGGCTTGCTTGTGCCGATGGTGGTCGAGGCATGTGCCTGCACCTAAGCCCAGCATGTGCCGATGGTGTTCGAGGCAACCGCACTCACCAAGGCCCAGCATGTGCTGATGGTGTTCGATGCAACCGCCTACACCAGGGGCCATCCTCTACCAATGGTGGTTGAGGGAAGTGCCCGCACCAAGGGCCAGCTTGTGCCGATAGTGCTCGAGGCAATCGCCCGTACCAAGGCCCAGCATGTGTCGATAGTGTTCGAGGCAACTCCACATACCAGGGACCATCTTCTATCGATGCTGATCAAGGCATGGCACGTGCCAATGGTGGTCTAGGCAAGTACCCGTACGAATGGCCAGCTTGTGATGATGGTGGTCGAGGCAAGTGCCCACACCAAGGCCCAACACGTGTTGATGGTGCTCGAGGCAACCGCCCGCACTGAGGGCCATCTTCTGTTGATGCACATCGAGGCATGCATGTGTCGATAGTGGTCAAGGCAAGTGCCTGTTCCAAGGGCCACCTTATGTCAATGGGGGTCGAGGCAAGTGCTTGTACCAAAGGGCAACCTGTGCCGATGATGGTCGATGCATGTGCCATCACCATGTGCCATCATGTGCCGTTGATGGTTGAGGCCTTGGTCGAAGTTTGATTTTGAGCCACAGTGCACATGCTGGGCTCGAGCATGTGCTGGTGTCATATTTTTTTGCCTGAGGCACCATCGTCGGAGAACCTGATCGACGGCATTGGGGGTTCTGGTGATTGAGGGTCCAGGGGGTGTGCACGCATGATGTGCAATGGGTGCTTGTACTTGGCCCTTATATTGGACCCATATCCCTCAACAAACCTTGACAACTCACACCCCCTTAAAGAGCATATGAGATTTTACAGGTTTGCTGCCAGTAACCATTCAAGTGTCTGAAATAGGGACACTTTTTTCAAATGGCCACAAAATCTTCTACACTTTGAGTTTTTAGCTAAACTTTTTATGCATGGAAAAAAAAGTACAAAGATCATATCTACCAAATTTGGGGCCAAAACTCCTTCTAAAAAAAGTTTAAAAAATCTTAAACCGTAAAAACTTTCAAAAATCATGAAAAATAAAAAACAAGTCATCTTGCCATGAAACTTTTCATGAAGGCTTAGGGGACCATTGTATGAATTTACAAGCCATGAAAATGGCATTGGCATGGTAGAAATATGAAGATGTACCTAAACCCACCTACCACCCGATCATGGCGCGCATGGTGCTCGACCCGGGCTCAAGACACCCGCGCGTGGTGTATGGGCACTGAAGAGTGCTCACATGAATTCACAGGCCATAAAAATGGCATTGGCATGGCAAAAATATGAAGATGTGCATGAACCCACCTACCACCCGGTCGTGGCGATCATTGGTGCTTGGCCTGGGCTCAGGACACCCGCGCGTGGTGCACGGGTGTTGGGGAGCACTCATATGAATTGATGGACCACAAAAATGGCTTTGGCACTGTAGAAACATGAAGATATCTCTGAACCCACCTACTGCCCGATCGTGGTGTGCAGGGTGCACGGCTCGAGCCCAGGTGCGGTCGCTTGGTGCACGACCCAACATAGATCGATGTTGTTCGAGGGACCTACCCGCACCAAGGTCCAGGATGTGCCGATGGTCGTCAAAGCATGTACCGAGACCAAGGACCAACATGTCTCGATAGTGGTCGAGGCATGTGCATGTGTCATGGTCAGTAAGTAAGCCGGGACTGGCCCCGGGGTTGTAGTGGGATAGGGTCTGATAGTCGGGGGGACCAGGCCTTGAAGCCTACTTGAGGTGTAGGTCACAGGGAACTAGATCGAGACAATGGTATGGGCAGTGATCAGGACTCCAAAGGCTCAGACACGGTGTTAGGTTCGGTAGAATTAAGCCAAGCCCAGGTGCGGGTGTTGCTGAGCGGTGCGTGGGCATGCAGTCAGACTGACGTACAGGCACTGATGATCAAGGTGTGAGCATGCAGTCAGACCAGGGGTGTCCAAGGCAGCAGCCCACACCAAGTGCTAGTGTCATGCCTTGGGCATGTGCACCAGGAGTTGAGGCTCGCGCCCCAGCGGCCAAGGCTCGAGCATCGTACGCAGAGGTAGGGGTTCCAGCAATGTCATTGCTATTGCTATCCAGATTGCCCGCCCAAAAGTCTGGCTTGTTCGTGGCACCGGGACCAGGCCCACAAAATGCCCGCATTGCATCCAGGTTGTCCCAGGGAGTGGGGCCAAACCAAAATCGTATAGAAAGCCTGTAGGATCTACATCACACAGAGAGGGACCCGATCGATCCTCGCTTGTGTATTCTGCCTCTCTGGCTAGCTTAGTGCCTGCACGCTTATTTTGTAGATTGACTTAGGCATACGAAGTTCATTCCCAGTCTAAGCTCCAACTGGACTGAGGGTTGTGGCTGCAGGAACTGCAGCAAGATCAGTAGCACGTAGAGGTGGACCCGATCGATCCTCAGCTTGCGCATTCTGCCTCTTTAGCTGGCTTAGTGCCCGCACGCTCATTTCGTAGGTTGACATAGGCATATGAAGTTCATTCCCAATCGGGATCGAGGTACGGAGGGACCCAAGTCATGCCTAACCCCGGAGGAGGGCGGCATAAAAAAAAGAAAGGTTGGCGGGGGAAGGGGAGAGGGAGGGGGGAGGGACGAATCGAAGTGACTAAGGGCTGAATCTCAGTGGATCATGGCAGCAAGGCCACTCTGCCACTTACAATACCCCGTTGCATATTTATGTTGTCTGCAAAGGATTCTACCCACCGCTTGGTGGGAATTGAGCTCCAAAGAGGCCCACACAGCTTGTCCATCGCGGGTGCTGCACCTACGACATGTGCCCTTGGCGGCCATGGGCCTCTACTTCGGGTCGACAATCGGGTGGCGGGCACGCGCATCACTTCTAGCTTGAATTCTGACTTAGAGGCATTCAATCATAATCCAACGCATAGTACCTTCATACCACTGGCTTTTCAACCAAGCACGATGAACAATTGTGCGAATCAATGGTTCCTCTCATACTAGGTTGAATTACTATCACGCTGTCACCTTCAGTAGGGTAAAACTAACCTATCTCATGATGGTCTAAGCCCAACTCATGTTCCCTAGTGGTGGGTGAACAATCCAATACTTGGTGAATTCTGCTTCACAATGGTAGGAAGAGTCGACATCGAAGGATCAAAAAGCAACATCGCTATGAATGCTTCACTGCCACAAGCCAGTTATCCCTGTGGTAACTTTTTTGACACCTTTAGCTTCAAATCCTGAAGGTATAAAAGACCGATAGGCCATGCTTTCACGGTTCGTATTCATTTTGGAAATCAGAATCAAATGAGATTTTACCCTTTTGTTCCACATGACATTTTTGTTCTCGTTGAGCTCATCTTAGGACACCTACGTTATCTTTTAACAGATGTGCTGCCCTAGCCAAACTCCCCACCTGACAATGTCTTTCTCGGATCAACCGATCGAGGCTAGCCTTGGGTCCAAAAAAAGGGGTCGTGCCCCACCTCTAATTCACGGAATAAGTAAAATAACATAAAAGTAGTGGTATTTCAATTTCGCCCGGGGGCTCCCATTTATCCTACACCTCTCAAGTTATTTCACAAAGTCGAACTAGAGTCAAGCTTAACAGGGTCTTCTTTCCCCGTTGATTTTGCTAAGCCGGTCCCTTGGCTGTGGTTTCACTGGATAGTAGATAGAGATAGTGGGAATCTCGTTAATCCATTCATGCGCGTCACTAATTAGATGACGAGGCATTTGGCTACCTTAAGAGAGTTATAGTTACTCCCACCGTTTACCCGCGCCTGGTTGAATTTCTTCACGTTGACATTCAGAGCACTGGGTAGAAATCACATTGCATGGGCATCCGCAGGGACCATTACAATGCTTTGTTTTAATTAAACAGTCGGATTCCCCTTGTTCATACCAGTTTTGAGTCGACTTTTCATCGCTTGGAGAAGGCCCCCGAGGGAGCCATTCTCAGTCCGTCCCCTGACCGACATGCAATGACCTACTCTCACTGTGGGAGTAGCTCGAGTAGTACACCAGTAGCTGACAGGTTTAAGACTGGGACCCTCGTGCCTAGCCCTCAGAGCGAATCCTTTTCTCGAGGTTACAAATCCATTTTGTCGACTTTCCTTGGCTGCATTATTCCATCGACCAGAGGCTGTTCACCTTGGAGACCTGATGCGGTTATGAGTACGATCAGGCACAGACGGCACTCAATCTTTCATATTTTGAAGGGCTGTCGGGGGTGCACTGGACACCACGCAATGTGCGGTGCTCTTTCGACCATTGGACCCTACCTCTGACTAAGCCATTTCCAAGGTGGACGGGCCGTTAAACAAAAAGATAACTCTTCTCGAGGCCCTCGTCGATGTCTCCGGACTCCCTAACGTTGCAGTCAGCCATCGTGTCTCAGTTCAGGAATTTTAACTTGATTCCCTTTCGAAGCTCATGCAGGATGCACTGTCAGACGGGCTTCCCATCTCTTAGGATCGACTAACCCATGTGCAAGTGCCGTTCACATGGAACCTTTCCCCTCTTCGACCTTCAAAGTTCTCATTTGAATATTTGCTACTACCACCAAGATCTGCATCGAAAGTCGTTCCACCCGGGCTCGTGCCTCGGGTTTTATGACAACCATCGCACCCTCCTACTCATCACGCACTTAAGCACCATCCATTTTTTAGGCTAGTTAATTCGGCAAGTGAGTTGTTACACACTCCTTACTGGATTTCGACTTCCATGACCACCGTCATGCTGTTTTAATCGACCAACACCCTTTGTGGGTTCTGGGTTAGTGCGTAGTTGGGCACCGTAACCCGATTTCTGGTTCATCCTGCATCACCCATTTTGCTTACCAAAAATTACCCACTTGGAGCTCTCGATTTCGTGGCACGGCTCAACGAAGTAGCCGTGTCATCCTACCTATTTAAAGTTTGAGAATAGGTCGAGGGCGTTGTGCCCCCGATGCCTCTAATCATTGGCTTTACCTAGTAAAACACAACAGGGGCTCCAGCTATTCTGAGGAAACTTCGGAGGGAACTAGCTACTAGATGGTTCGATTAGTTTTTCGCCCTTATACCCAAGTCAGACGAATGATTTGCAAGTTAGTATCGTCGCGGGCCTCCACTAGAGTTTCCTCTGGCTTCACCCCACTCAGGCAAAGTTCACCATCTTTCGGGTCCTGACGGGCATGCTCGCACTTGAACCCTTCACAGAAGATCAAGGTCGATCGACGGTGCACCCGCGAGGTATCCCACCAATTAGCTTCCTTACGCCTTACGGGTTTCTTGGCCCATTGACTCACACACATGTCAGACTCCATGGTCTGTGTTTCAAGATGGGCTGAGTGGGAAGCCCACAGGCAAACGTCAGGAGCACATGGGTGTCGAGGCACATCGAGACGGCACGTGCTGTACTCAACAATCACGGTGATGATGTCTCCATGAGCACATCAAAAGCCCAGTCTTGGGCTACCATAACCCACGTCGGTCCATGCCCCGAGCCGATGGACAGACTGACTCTTCTCATTCACATCCAATCGGGGTGCATCGTCGACCCCCATCCACTTCCCTCCTAACAATTTCAAGCACTCTTTGACTCGCTTTTCAAAGTCTTTTTCATCTTTCCCTCGTAGTACTTGTTCATTATCGGTCTCTCGCTCATATTCAGCCTTGGATGAAATTTATCACAGATTGGGGCTACAATCCTAAACAACCTGACTCGCGGACAGCACCTCGTGGAGCTACAGGGTCCAGGCACAATGGGCCTCTCACCCTCTCCGATGCCCCTTTTTAGGGGACTTGGGCCAGGTCTGCCGCTGAGGATGCTTCTCTAGACTACAATTCGGAAGGGGCACCCGATTCTCAAGCTGAGCTCTTTTCGGTTCACTCATCGTTACTAGGGGAATCCTAGTAAGTTTCTTTTCCTCCGCTTATTGATATGCTTAAAGTCAGTGGATGATCCCACCTGACCTGGGGTCGTGACGTGAGCATCGATCGAGCGATGCGGGGGGTTCGATGGGGTCCAGGTGGACAACGAGTGTGAGTCACTGGGGACAAGGCACGTCGGGAGCTCTACCACCGACGGTCACGACGCTGTCATTGTCGGGGACTTGCTTTTGGGCCAACCACGACCAACGAGATCACGGGAGGCCATCTTTCACCTACCCCCTTCCCCTGAAGCTCAATGGCGGAGGGTCGGAGGGGGGTCGATGGAGCATGACACCCAGGAAGGTGTGCCCTTGGCCTAATGGTTTTGGGTACAACTTGCATTCAAAGACTCGATGGTTCATGAGATTCTACAATTCACACCAAGTATTGCACTTCGCTACATTGTTCATCGATGCGAGAGCTGAGATATCCGTTGTCGAGAGTCGTTTCATTTTTTTACGACAAAAGGAGTTGTGGCACCATCTGCGCATGATCGTGAACTGGATGGCAACAATGTACGCGCTCAGATTCGTGTCGGGGGTTCATTGTTCGACAACGAGCAAGACGACGCCGATCATTTTGCCTACCCGGTAGGGGTACGAAGCGACCGTCGCACCCACCTGGGGTCGAAAGAGGCTCGAGGCACGGGGGCACCCTCACCCTCTCGATGTTTCGTTAACGCGTTTGTGGGTCATCTGTCGAGTGGGGTTTGGACAATGATCCTTCTGCAGGTTCACTTACGAAAGCCTTGTTACGACTTCTCCTTCCTCCAAATGATAAGGTTCAGTGGACTTCTCGTGACGTCACGGACAGCGAACCGTCCACGTCACCGTAATCTGAACACTTCACCAGACCATTCAATCAGTAGGAGTGATGGGCAGTGTGTACAAAGGGCATGGACGTAGTCAATGCGAGCTGATGACTCGCGCTTACTAGGAATTCCTCGTTGAAGACCAACAATTGCAATGATCTATCCTCATCACAATGAAATTTCAAAGATTACCCTAGCCTATCGGCCAAGGCTATAGACTCATTGAATACATCAGTGTAGCGTACGTGCGGCCCAGAACATCTAAGGGCATTACAGACCTATTATTGCCTCAAACTTCCTTGGCCTAAGTGGCCATAGTCCCTCTAAGAAGCTAGCCACGAAGGATCACCTCCGCGTAGCTAGTTAACAGGCTGAGGTCTCGTTTGTTAATGGAATTAACCAGACAAATTGCTCCACCAACTAAGAACAACCATGCACCACCACCCATAGAATCAAGAAAGAGCTTTCAGTTTGTCAATCCTTACTATGTCTGGACCTGGTAAGTTTCCCCGTGTTGAGTCAAATTAAGCCGCAGGCTCTACTCCTGGTGGTGCCCTTCTATCAATTCCTTTAAGTTTCAGCCTTACGACCATACTCTCCCCAGAACCCAAAGACTTTGATTTCTCATAAAGTGGCAGTGGAGTCCTAAAAGTAACATCCGTCGATCCCTGGTCGGCATCGTTTATGGTTGAGACAGGATGGTATCTAATCGTCTTTGAGCCCCTAACTTTCGTTCTTGATTAATGAAAACATCATTGGCAAATGCTTTCGTAGTTGTTCATCTTTCATAAATCCAAGAATTTCACCTCTGACTATGAAATACGAATGCCCCTGACTGTCCCTGTTAATCATTACTCTGATCCCAAAGGCCAACACAATAGGACTGAAATCCTATGATCTTATCCGATGCTAATGTATACAAGCGTAGGCCTACTTTGAGCACTCTAATTTCATCGAAGTAACAGTGTCAGAGGAACGACCTGGGCAATTAAGTCCAGGAGCGCATCATCAGTAGTAGGGACAAGTAGACCGGTGCTCACCATGAGGCGGACCTGACGACCCAACCTTATTTTTAACTACAAGCTTTTTAACTGCAACAACTTAAATATACGCTATTGGAGTTGGAATTGTCGTGGCTGCTAGCACCAGACTTGCCCTCCATTGGATCCTCATTAAGGGATTTAGATTGTACTCATTCTAATTACCAGACTCATAGAGCCTAGTATTGTTATTTATTTTCGCTACCTCTCTGTGTCAGAATTGGGTAATTTGAGCGCCTGCTGCCTTCCTTGGATGTGGTAGCCGTTTCTCAAGCTCTCTTTTCAAAATTGAACCCTAATTCTCCGTCACTCGTCACCACCATAGTAGGCCACTATCCTCCCATCGAAAGTTGATAGGGCAAAAATTTGAATGATGCGTCACCAACGTAAAGGTCGTGCAATCCGTCGAGTTATCATGAATCATCAGAGCAAAGGGCGTAGCCTGTGTCAACCTTTTATCTAATAAATGCATTCCTTCCAAAAGTCGAGGTTTGTTGCATGTATTAGCTCTAGAATTACTATGATTATTCGAGTAGTAGATACTATCAAACAAACTATAATTGATTTAATGAGCAATTCACAGTTTCACAGTCTAAATTAGTTCATACTTACACATGCATGGCTTAATCTTTAAGACAAACATATGACTACTGGCAGGATCAAACCAGGTAGCATTCCTTCAGGATGTTGGCATCGTATGGGCCTTGATACACTGATCAAATGGTAGAGAGAGCCCAATGTGAAGCACAAGCATCGTGCGTGTCGAGCATGTGAAATGCATAGCATTGGATGAACGGGGGTCGAGAGCCTGTGCCCTCGAAACGTTTTGCATCCGAGAGCATGATTGAACACCGGTGCACCAATAAGGTCACAGAGGATTGGGTGGTGCACTTTGGACACCGGCCATGATTGATGTCTGACCCGTAACCCCTCAGGACATGAGACGGATGAGGGATGGCAAGACATCCAATTTCCATCGATTCAGGTATTTAGCACAGGATCTCGATTGCACCCTTGGGGTACGATGATCGCATGGGGAGAGATTGAAGAGAATGACGGGTCGACAATTTGATGCATCGAGCACGGAGCCTGCCAACACGCACAACCATAACACCACTCATATGCCTATTGCGTACAAGTGGCAGCATCCACGCACGTCGATCCATAACCCACCCAATCGATTACTCAATGAGTGAGTGAAGAAAACAATGTACGAGGCCACGCCACAATCGCTTGGCACTGGAAAAACACAAGCAAGGGCCACGAGTCTACCCGGGCCATCTGACGGGCAACAACAGTGGGATACCACCAATGCTTGGCCTAGCCGAGACCGCACACGCGAGCTCCGTTGACACCACCCCAAGGGGACGTTGCCCAATTCAGGGACTTGTTCGTGGGTTCTTGGGTAGCATCGACTGCATGCACGGCCTCGTCGAGGCCAAGGTGTTTTAGTGGTTGACGAGAAGGAACCGTGAGACCATCAAATACCGAGAGACTTGGCCAGGCCAAGCCCATAACCGCAGCTTCTGCTCGTACCACCCCTGGGAGCCACTGCCCGATTCGGGGACTTGGTCTAGGGTCTAGGGTAGCATCCGTCCCATGCATGGGCTCAAGCTTGGCTCCCCTTTTTCACATGCACTCCAACTGATCGAGGCCATGAGCACCTGTCAGTCATCGGAGCAACCAATCATCAGACAAAATGATTGGAAGGCATGCATACCCTGTATTTCACTCGAGGGACGTTACCCTAGGTGTATGTAATTGGAAGGCCATCACGCACAGCTATTGGGGGGAGAGGGGATGTCGGACCACCACCCTCTAAAGAGCATTAGAGATTTTACAGATATCCTACTAGTAGACCTTAAAGTTTCTGAAACGAGGACACTTTTTCCAGATAGACATATCCCATACCAAGGGTGAGTAGGTGCTGATGGTGTTTGATGCGACTGCCCACAACAAGGGCCATCTTTTACCTATGCTGATCGAGGTAGGTGCCCACATCGGTTCCAGCTTGTGCGCATGCTGATTGAGGCATGCATGCACCAATGGTGGTCAAGGCATCTACTCGCACCAAGGCCCAGCATGTGCCAATAGTGTTTGAGGCAACCGCCCACACTAGGGGCCATCTTCTACCGATGCTGATTGAGGCATGGTACATACTGATGGTGATCGAGGTAAGTGCCCGCACCATGGGCTGACTTGTGTCGATGGTGGTTGAGGCATGTGCCCACACCAAGGCCCAGCATGTGCTGGCACCAAGGCCCAGATGTGCCGATGGTGTTCAAGGCAATCACCTGCAACAATGGCAATCTTCTACCGATGGTGATCGATGCAACTGCTCGAACCAAAGCCCAGCATGTGCTGATGGTGTTCAACGTAATAGCCTACACTAGGGGCCATCTTTTACCGATGGTGGTCGAGGCAACTGCCCACACCAAGGCCCAGCATGTGCTGATGGTGTTCAAGGTAACCGCACGCACCAGGGACCATCTTCTACCGATGCTGATCGAGGCATGGCACATGTTGATGGTATTCCAAGCAAGTGCCCATACCAATGGCCAGCTTGGGACGATGGTGGTCGAGGCATGTGGTTGTGTCACGCCTTGGCCAGGTGCACCAGGCACATCAAGCGTACCAGCAGGTGAGCTAAAGGTTGAGGCCCGTAGACCAAGCACACTAGCGGGTATTTACGTGCAAGGCCTAGGAGACAAGGTTAGAATGCCCGCCCAGCTTGTAGGCCAGCCCATGAGGCCAAGTTCTAGCATGCAGTCTGCCCGCACCACATCCAGAAGGGCCCAAGGTGCTGGATATGCAAGTGAAGCTTCTGGAACCTTACAGGATCAGTAGGAGCCTCCTGGCATATTTGGTTGACCCTAGAAATAAGAGTTACAATCCTGATTGATTGTAATCTATATAATCCCATGATTCTAGGGATATTGCCATTAAGTGTAGTTGGAGCCTCAACTATAAATAGAGGGCTACTCCACCCTCATTTGTACACCATCAAACACTTTCGTTTCAATGAATACAGAGCATATTCCAACGTTTTGCCTTGTTATCTTGTTTCTTTTTAACTTGCATAATCAGCCCTTCCCATTGTTCTAGTGCCTACACACTTGTGTTTTAGGCTGACTTAGGCATAAAGGAGGAGATTCCAAGCCTAAGGCCACACAGATTCTGAGTCTAAGGTCAGAGCCCGTGACAGTTGGTGTCAAAGCAAGTTCGATTCTAAGTGTTTATGTTGTGCAAGTTAGATCGTGATTGAGAAGATGGCATCCCAAAGCGACGTTGCTGACCAACAACCGCCTACAGCCTAGGAGCAGGGGCATGGAAGATGTAGGAAAGCCAGTTCAAGAGATATATGGTTTACCATGGGTGGTAGGCTGGCCAAGGTGGAGGTGACCATGGGTGATATGGGGGAGAAGCTTGAGGAAGTAGAGACTCACATTGCATCGCTAGACTCTATGGGGGAGGAGATTCAAGGTGAACTGCAAGCTGCTCTCAACAAAGGCATGGACGTGATCACCCAAAAGAATGAGGCCTTGGAGGCTGAAGTGCTGACCTTGCGTGACGGCATGGAGGCCATGCGCCATGGCATGGAGGCCATGCGCCAACAGATGGAGGAGCTTACCAGTGAGGTCGTTGCTTGCAAGACTGCCATTGGGAATGGCATGTTTGCTTGAGTGTCCAAGTCCATAATGGATGTCCCCAAGCCTAAAGAGTTCAAGGGGACTAGGGTGACCAAGGAAGTAGGCAACTACCTATGGGGTATGGAGCAGTACTTCTAGGCCATGGGCATGCAAGATGAGGCGATAAAGATAAGCATCGCTACTATGTATCTCACTGATGTAGCCTTATTGTGATGGAGGCGTAGGTGTGATGATGTCAGGTGTGGGAGCACCAAGATTGGAACCTGGGTAGAGTTCCAGAAAGAGTTCAGAGAGTAATTTTACTCGGAGTATGTCGATGATGAGGCACGGGCAAAGTTACGTAGGCTGAGCCAGCAAGAGGACATAAGGGAGTATGTTTAAAAATTCTCTGAACTGATGCTACAGATTTCAGATCTAAGTGAGAAGGATGCTTATTTGCTTTCATGGATGGGCTGAAGCCGTGGGTGAAGCATGAGCTACAACGGAGGGGAGTTCATGACTTGGCTAAAGCCATGACTACTACTAAAGCCTTAATAAAGTTCAAGCCTCTGAACAAGTTCGAGTCTTTCAAGCCCAAGGGTAAGGGCAGGGACAATAGGGACTAGAAGAAGCAGTGCAAGGGGAAGGGCCATGACAAGGAGTCCAAGGAGGAAGACCAAGACTGTTCAACCAAGGATGGCAAAAGGAAGCCACTAGCAGGCAAATGGAAAGCAAAAGAGGATCAAGAGCCATTAGAATGCTACCTATGTAGAGGGAGCCACATAGCACGTAATTACCCGCAGAAGGGCAAGCTGGCTGCTGTAGACAAGGAGTCTGACGAGGAGCCAGAGTCAGAGGTAGCAAAGCTTGGGTTGTTAGTGCTCAATGCTATCCAAAGTAAAAGGAGCCATAAGCCAAAGGGCTTGATATTTGCAGATCTGATGGTTACGAGTCAGAAGGTGAGTGCACTGGTGGACACAGGTGCCTCACATCTTTTTATTTCAGGTGATGAAGCCCAAAAGCTCAAACTAAAGGTGTAAAAAGGGACTGGTACCATTAAAACAGTGAACTCTAAGGAGGTTTCAGCCATTGGAGTAGCACAGGGAGTGGAGTTGCAGCTTAGAGACTGGAAAGGCAAGGAGACCATAGAGGTAATACCCCTTGATGACTATGAGTTTGTGATTATGTTGGATTTTCTTGTTTGGATTAACGCCCTCTTTGTACCTTTTATCGATTGTGTTTGCATCCTGGATGCAAGGTGCCAATGCCTAGTGCCATTGAAGAGAGGGTCTGGAGTTGGGTCACGAGTGGTGTCAGCCATCTAATTTGCCAAGGTGGTAAGTAGACAAGAAGACACCTTCTTGGCAACCCTGAAGTATGAGGAACCAAGGGAGAATGAGATCGAGTCACCCTTGAAGGTGCTGAAGGTGCTGAAGACCTTTAGTGATGTGATGCTTGTAAAGCTACCTAGCCAGCTACCACCTAAGAGAGAGGTGGACCACAAGATCAAGCTGGTGTCTGAGGCCAAGCCACCAGCTAGAGCCCCTTACCGAATGTCCCCATCAGAGTTAGAAAAATTGAGGAAGTAGCTCAAAGAGTTAGTTGATGCTGGCTTCATCAGGCCATCGAAGGCACCATATGGTGCATCGGTTCTATTCTAGTGCAAGCATGATGGGTCGTTGCAGCTGTGCATAGACTACTAGGATTTGAACAAGCTGACTATCAAGAGCAAGTACCCTATCACACTAATTGTGGACTTGTTCGACCAACTTGGGAGCGCAAGGTGGTTCACCAAGCTGGATTTGAGGTCGAGCTACTATCAAGTCGAGGGAGATGAGCTAAAGACAGCATGTGTCACTCGGTATGGTTTGTATGAGTTCTTGGTGATGCCTTTCAGACTCACGAATGCCCCAGCAACATTCTGCACCATTATGAACAAGGTACTTTAGTCGTTCCTTAATCGATTTGTTGTGGTTTATTTGGATGACATTATGATCTACAGCCAGACTTTGGGAGAGCAAGTAGACCACTTGAGACAGGTGTTCTAGGTGTTACGAGCGCACAAACTGTTTGTCAAGAGGGAGACGTGCTCATTCACCGAGCAAGAGATCTCATTCCTTGGCCACATAGTGGGAGGTGATAGGATACGCATGGATGAAGGCAAGGTGCACGCCATCTTGGAGTGGCAACTGCCAGCCAAGGTCACTGAGTTGAGATCATTCCTTAACTACTATAAGCGCTTCATCAAAGGTCACTCAGCAATAGCCACGCTATTGACTGACTTGCTCAAAAAAGAGAGAGCATGAGAGCGGAGCGTATGGTGCCAGGAAGCCTTTAATAGGTTGAAGCAGGCTATGACCGAAGAGCCAGTCTTGGCCTTGCCAGACCATGCCAAGCCATATGAGGTGCATACGAATGCATCAGACTTTGCCATAAGGGGCGTGTTGATGCAGGAGGGACATCCAGTCACTTTCGAGAGTAGGAAGCTGAACGAGACTGAGCATAAGTACATGGTCCAAGAGAAGAAGATGACTGCAGTGGTGCATTGCTTGCGCACTTGGTGCCATTACCTGTTGTGGTCGAGGTTCGTGGTTAGGACAGACAATATGGCGACCAGCTACTTCCAGACG